GCCCCCTGGTGGGCTGAGCTGGCCACACACACACACACACACACACACAAATAAATAAATAAATAAATTGTTTTTTTTTTTTTTAAAGTGATTTTAAATGTGCTTTCTAACTCTTAAGATACCAGATTCAGTAATATGGGAGTAATAATAACTCTCACAGTTACTGTGAGAATAAATATTGCATGTGAAAATTCATGCACACTGCATAGTGTACAATCAGTGCTCCCTGCCTTATCTATATGATAAAAATAATCCTTACCTTGACCTGGTTCAAATGAGATAATGAATGTAAACATGCTTTAAATACCCTTCAAGTCCTTTACAAAAATAATAGATCCAGAAATCTAGTCTCTTATTTGACCTGGTACCATTAGGGGTAGGAGTTCCTTCATCAGTTTGTTCATTTACAAAGGGACCCCTTGGCTTTTAGGGTTGGGCAGATGAGTGAATGGTTGAGAAGGGAAGGGCCTGACTCACCTGCATGCAGAGTGGATAAATTTGTCTTGCTCTGGCCAAAGATCATTCAAGAATATTAATAGTTAGGAATGTATGTTCCCACCCTAGCTCTCTCCCTTATTAGCAGATGACTATTAAAGGAGTGATACCATCTCATGGGAGATTTTTTGTAGTGATTCAGCATACTTATTTTAAGCATTTGGCCAGCATTTGGCACCTAAATACTCAACAGCTGACCCTGTTATTACTCTTTTCCCACATACTTAAGAGAAATTTTCCAAATGCTTTCTTGAAGGGTACGAGATGGATTTGGAAAGAACCTTTCTTCTGTACCTTGGAGAAGCTCCTTTATGGATTAGTTCATGGTCTATGGCATAGACCAATGTTGTTTAAAAAACAAAAGCAACATGAGCCAGGAATGAATGATAATGCACACCTGTAATTCCAACACTCTGGGAAACTGAAGCAGGATGATTTTGAGTTCAAACTCAGCCTGAGTAATTTTAATTTAGCAAGGCTCTGTCTTAAAAAGGGGATGAGGGACTATAGCTCCATGAGAAAGTACTCAATCCACAGTGCTACACACACACAGAGAGAGAGAGAGAGAGAGAGAGAGAGAGAGAGAGAG